TCGTTGACAGCTCCTCCAAGCAGCTTCCCCTACAATCCGGATGCCGGCCTCAACTAGGACATGGCGGACTTCCGTATGGAAGGAAAACGCTTGAGGTGGAATTTTGTCATTCTTGCCAAAAGGCACACGTATGGCTTTGGCTTCCCCTTTGAGCTGCCCTTTGTGTACTGCTTCCACAAAACATTGTCGGGCGAGCACGTAAAAACACTGGTTGGCACGTAGTGTGCCCCGAATGGGGTCAGCTAAGACTTTATGGGTGTTTTTTTGTACGAATTGCAGCTCGCACCCGAAAGTGCTGTTGCTTCCCAAGTAGGGGAGCTGTTCTAGCACTGCATTTTCGAAACCATGGAGTCTGTCGTGCTCGTGCGGGTCGATAACAATGTGAGACTCTTCACCCGCCAGGGTGGTGAGTGTAAGAGGCAGTGCCGACGATCTTTCCTTACTACCTTCCAGGCTAGGACTGGGCATAGCGTCTGCCATGCTCACAACTTGTAAGTTGCTACCTTGTGCCCATAGGCAAACGAGGCAGGAGTGCATGATGTTTCTCGCAACCCTGATCTGGAGGTGGCAGTTGACCGTCACTCCCCTAGACTATGGATTGCGGCTACCTGGACTGTGAGGCACTCTATTTTTCAACTCGCCTACCCTGGACCGGAGCTAAGGCTCGTACCCAGGCACTTAATGGGTGACAGGGATGGTGCAATTTGAGAAAAGTGCATCCTAGGCGGAGGCCAGTTCTTTGTCCCACTTTTGCTTCCGATCTCCTCTGGTAGATCACATGTGACAATCCTGTGGATGAGAGCTCCGCAATGCCCAAACTGGGACTTTGGCTTGAGTAGGGAAGAATCCCTTCAGGCTAGACCAGATACATGCCCCGTGTCTGGGATCATATGCAACCAGGGCGGCCATCGCATCCTTGGACAGATGGCGAAGGCGTTTTCTTCCGCGTAGATTCCTCTCCATTTGTGCCGGCCGGGTAACTTGACCAGTCTCCAGAGCGCAGTACAGTCCAAGAAGGCCCTGCTTGCTATGTACCTTAACGAGGGTGGTATAGCAAGTTCTGGCAGGGCCGCACAGTTCATGAAGGCTTTGACTCTAATGGTGTGAAGAGTAGGCGGTAGACTGACTTCCCTAAGGCTAGTACAGTGTACAAAGGTGAATTCTTGGATTTCTTCAATCTTTGTATTGGAGAGGTCGACTTTCTTTAGTAAGTGACAGTTGTCACAGGCATGTGCCCCTAGTACCGAGAAGTCTTGCGTGAGTGTAAGTGTGGTTATCCCCGTAGAGCTAAGGCAGCCTTGCGCCAGTTCTCTGGCAGTAGTTTGCAGTGGCAGCCCGCTTGGGGGGAGAGCCTCTCGCAGGTTAAATTCGGCAAGGCTTATACAGTCTCGAAAGAGGTAGTGCCCAAACTTGGTGGTGCTACAAAACTGATTGGCAACTCCTTCAGCTGCATACACCCATTGCAAGGAGCTGCATTCCGCAAAGGCTTTATAGCCAAACTCTCGACAACCAGGTGCAGTGACACTATTGAGCAGTTGGCAGCCTCGAAACGCATTGTCAGCAATGCCCACGACAGTTGCCGGCATTCTGACAATTCGAAGTTGTCGGCAACTTTGCCAAGCTTTTGCACCAACAAATCTGATGCCTGGCTCAATGCTGATATGACGTAGCCGCGGTACCCCTGCAAACGCCCCTTCAGGGACCATTTCTTCTGGGTTCATGGGGACATGGACAGCTAGCGGAATGTCGTGGAGGGGACACCCTTCTAGGCATTCCTGCGAGTGGAGGACTTCGCTGCAATCCCGAAAGATGATACAGTACTCCATACTCTGCTGCAGTTTCTCCCAGAGTGGGTTCTCTAGGTAGGTCTGCGTGGCCACTTGCAAGAAGTCAATGTCTGTGGCCCTGCCTTGGCCGGAATGGTTGGGGCTTTGGCAGTCACTTGCCCCGGTTGTTGAAAAAGGGGACGCTGGTCTGCTAGCGTCAGTAAGAGAGCGTCAAAGAGCTCGGCAAGAGGCAGCCGTAGGCGAAGGACTACTTCCACTTGCGGCGGACCTTCAGGGCCATGGGTAAGAGAGCACTGATGGGGGGCCAACAATGAAAGGAAGAGCCATTGGACTCACTACTCACTACGAGGAGGCCTTAAAGAAGCTAGCATCATTCGAGCCCGAACAGCCGCAAGCACCAAAACCTTCAAGCAGGATCCGACATAAGCGAATCAACAAACAAGGATGACTGATTGCAAATGCAATTAAAAAAGAGGGGTGGTAGCAGTTGCCCAGCAAGGGGTAAACGATTTCCCTTTCCACTTGTTCCACGGAGTTCTCTCACTGTTCATGCAACCTGCCCGTCGAGGTGGCGTGTCTATTTGTGGTGTCCTGCGTGTCTGAAAGGGGTGTCCATCTCGCTGGCCAGCGCCCAACACGCATTTGCCCCCGGCTGGACGCTGAGATGTTGTCGGTTGCTGTGTATGCTCTGAAGAGTATGTTGGATGTCGTACGCCAAAGTGCGCGCATTTCTTGCACGAGTTTCGAGTTCACGACTAAGGCGTGCATTTGGCGCATCATACCCAGAAGCCAGATCCTGCTCAGTGAGCGCTTGCAAGGCATATACCCCCAGTTGTCTAGAGACACGTGAGGCGCTAGCCTGGGGAGGGCCTTTGACTCCACCTATTCCTGCTGGCTGCGGTAGGGAGGGGGCAGGGCGAAAGGGGGTGTGAAAATGTGTGGTGTATGGTTTAATGCTTTTTGACCAGTTTTGTGCATATTTGAGATTATTTGACTGCGTTTAAGCTCGACACTTTCAATGTCTGGCATGGGAATTGCTTGCAATAGGAATACCTCATAGCCTTTTGCGCTTAACTTTGGCTCAAGGTGCGTGTAAGAGTGGTGCGGGAGCTTTCGCTTTGCTTGTGAGCTGTTGCGCGTGCTTTGTGTTTATAATCTACTCACTTGAGGTAATAGGTTTTTCAGGCACATTGCCATTTCCACAACCATCGCTCCAACCTTTTGCGCCGCCGCCTAGCACCCTTCTGGGCCGCAGCTGCCTTTCGTGTGGCAGGCGCATACACAGCTTCAGAAAGAGCTGCGGAACGCGTGGTCACCGATGGGCCGCGCGTGCCATTCGTGTGGCGGCAGACGCAACACAGAGCCTGCAGAAGAATCGGATGTGGCAGGGGCAGCACAGAGAGCCTCAGGAGGACAGAATGGACGCATGGGCGCCGCTGGGCTGCGCGTGTGGCAGGCGCAGCCACTCATCACACACCACGCATTACACTCCACTCATCACACACCGTCTCTCACCACTCAAGTGGTGTGTGATGAGTTGTGTGAGATGAGTGGTGAAAGATGAGTGGTGTCAGATGAGTGGTGTGTGATGAGTGGTGTGTGATGAGTGGTGTGTGATGAGTGGTGTGAGATGAGTGGTGTGTGATGGGTGGTATGTGATGAGTGGTGTAAGATGAGTGGTGTGTGATGCGAGTGGTGTAAGATGAGTGGTGTGATGAGTGGTGTGAGATGAGTGGTGTGTGACAAGTTACCCCGCTCATCTCACACAACTCATCACACACAACTCATCTTACACCACTCATTTTGCACACTCATCTTACACAACTCATCACGCCCCACTCATCTTACACAACTCATCACACACCATTCATCTTACACCATTCATCTTGCACTATCATCACACACCACTCATCTCACACCACTCATCACACACCACTCACCACTCATCTCATTCACTTTTATCGTCCAGTATTTTTCCGTCCTTTTTTCTATCAGTCTCTACTTCTCGTTGCTGGCTCTTACAAGCTTAACATGTGGGGTTATCCAGTCCTTTTATCTATCTGGCTTTTCTCTTGGATCTCATGCTTTTGCTATCTGGGGTCTATGCCTATGCTGGAGTAATTTTCTCCACCTGTCACTTTTTATGATCTTCTGCAAAGTGATTGAACCACTTTTTGGCTGGCAAAGTCCATTCTTAGTTTAAAAAAACCGTTTAAAGGTCGAAAACAACATAAAGTCCAGCTTGGGGTTGAAAAACACCATTTCATGCTTTCGAGGTCAAAAACACGTATCTCGTTTCTTGCAGAGTTCGTCGTAGAAACTAGTGGCACATTTAAGCATGCGCCGACCTGCAGCAGGTTTGATCCATTCGCTTGCATGTTGGATCTTGTCCGTTTTTTTTTTGGATTTTTTGTTTCTTTTCTTGCGACGTTTGCCTCGACCTCACAAAGCGCTTCAAAGGAAAAACAAAGCATCGCTTGACTGCGTTTTGATCGACTGTGCACTCAGATCAATTTGCGTTGTGGGAACGCAGCAAGGATTTTTTTGGAAATGCAACATTTCTGCACTTGATTTGTTGTAAGTTTCAAGCAACAAGCAAATTGTACGACTGCATGAACGGGTCAGCACGCACTTTCGCTTGGCACTTGTCGACTTCCAACAGAGGATTGAAATGTGTGTGGCATTCAGCCTGAGACGCTGACGAAGGTCAGCGCACACAGTGTTGTGCTGCACCATGAAACTGAGAGTGCAAGGATCATCGGCCTTTGACCCAGCTGTGCATCACTGTCGCATGGACATCATTTGCAATCCATGTAATTTTGCGACCAGTTCCTGCAGTTGACAGTGACAGAAACTGTTGGGGCGTGATACAAAGTAGAAACGTCCTCAAAGGGTGTGAGAGTTTTTCATTTCAAGTTCAACAGTTTTGTAGGACACTTTTGCCTGGCACTTTTGCAGACAGTTTGGAAAGATGCACGTTGCTTCACCGGGCGGTGAAGAAGCAGCACTTCTCAAGAAGTGTCGAAGATACGCAGGCATCACGCGAAACCACACCACACCACTCACCATTTTCTAGCACTGGTTTGTGCACAAAAAAGTGACAAGACTTTCATCGTCCCAGTCAACGGCAGCACCGTTTTGGTTGGTGTCATTTTAGAAATTGTTGGCATGGACATGGTCTCGCAACAACACAACCACAATTAATTGAAGCTGCAAACAGCAACGCTTGCCATGGCTACTGCCGGCGGCCGTGAGGCTCTTTGTTTTTAGCAGTGATCAGGTGCTTGGTTGCAATGTAGCGTGCACTTCGATTCGCAGGATGCAGAAGTGGACGAAGTATTGGAGTGGATTCCGGAGCCACTTGCTGGCCATTCTTGTGTTCCTGTTTGGATGGCGGATTGCATAGTTGTTTTTATCGTGGAGTTATGAATATTGCTACAGAGGATTGAAACAGGTGAGTTTGCTTTGTTTGCAGCAAGGCGTAGAGGGGAAGTACTTCCAATTCTTGCTGCTTTCCTGGCGTGTTGAACCAGGGCGTCACAAATGGTTATGTGCAATTCTTGAGGGCGTGGGTATTCAAAGTGCCAAGCCAGGTGACTTCAGCAAACTACAAACAGGTGTTTTCCTTTTGGGAGCCCTTGGCTCAGCAAGTTTGGTGCGTGTATGTTTAATTTCTTGGTGGGTATTTCGTTGATCCTGAGGTCGTCTCTGAGAACCCTTGGCTATCCCAGGCGGGAGACAGAAAGACTAGTTTCGGTTGCCACATTGATTGCAACTTTTCAGCCATTTTGTGGCAGGGTATAGAGGCTGGAAAGGTTGACTTTGGAGTCAGGGCTGATTGCTTTGGTTTTCAGAGTTGGCTTTTGGATGGTTCAACGTTCACATTCTTCATGGTTGCTGTCCGATTGCTGTTGTGGCTCAGCCAGTGGCAATAGGCCAACAGGCTTGATCCCCTTCGGTCAGGTCTTTTGTCCTACATCGCTGAGTCATTGACATTCAAGCGAGTTCCATGCACTGCTGTATCAGAGTTGTGGCCACTGCACTGAGGCTTTTGCCATTGAAGTCATCGAGAAGATGGGAAAGAAGGCTTACCGCTTCGAACTCAAAATGCAAACGTTTCAGCGAGTGTAATGCACAGCACAATGCACAAGTCAGAGTTCAATCGTTTCGATGTTGTGCATGAATGCAGGTGTTTGTGCAACAAAACAAGCAAAGGAAACGACACACAAAAGTTCCGAGCCTTTCGTTGCACAGAATATTTGTCGTTATGGGGTGGTAGGCCTCCCAATAGATTGGGTATATTGTAAGGGGGATAAGCCAATGAGTAATTTATTGACAAGCTCTGTGACTCTGCAGCATGGTAGCTAGCGCAAAGGCTTGGGGTTCTTCTACATAGGGATCTTACGCTTGAACCATCTTAAACCCCCTTGGGCTATGACCAGATGTTATCAAGACTTGGTATGGCAATGTGAAAGCCTTTGCTTTGCCCCATCTATTCTGCCCATGTTCTTTGCAATGAAAGTTCCAAAAGCTGCCGCTCCAGCACCACTTGTTGCAGTGCGTTGCGAGCTTGAAGTTTGCCCCTTAAATTCAGCTGCGTTCTAAGTGCATCAGGGTGTTCCAAAAACTTTGCCAGCACCAAAATGATACATACTTCTTCTTGCAGACCTGTCCACTCCGTTGAGATGAGAACTAACAAAGTTGGAGTTAACCAGAGTAGCAGTGCAAACTACACATTGTTGTGCGACCTGTTGTTGCATTCAGCAGAAATCACGAGACCATGAAGTGGAGTTGTGAAACATCCGACGTTCTACTTGCAGCCTGGCATCGGCGAACTCCTTCGAGGGCCACTGGACTTTAGCCACGTTAGAAAGGCAGTGTGCTAGCTGGAACACCACTGCATGGACAAAGCAGGTGATACACTTGGGAACTTGCTGGCAACGATGTTTTCCAAAGGGCAAAGACTTTGTTGCACTTCTTTCGGAAGCCTTGAAAGGGCGGCCTACGAAATACGGCCTACGCCTTAGCCACCTTAAATGCATTCATTAAAGGTACCCCAACATGGTCTGGGCAGCTTCATACTCGGTGGTGGTGGAGAGCTGCAAGTGGAAAAATGTTTTCAGTTTAGAAAATGCAAGTGATGCAAGATAAGTGCAACGCATCAGCAGCATCATGAACTTGTCTCGGACTAACGCTTAAGCGATTTCACGCCGATATGTCAAGACTATATAACATAACTTTTTCATCTTACAATGTGATATTGTTAGCGGAATCCATTCGAGATGGTCATAGGTCCCCCTTGTCCTTTGGAGGCAAAAGGAACCAGGAGGGCCGACCACACCATGGATTTGGTCAAATCCTCACCAGACTACGTAAACTAGCGGATCTGCAGGTCGTGTTTGTTTTGAGGGCCCTGCCTTTTTAAACCGCAAGTGCATGTCTCTAGAGGTGATTCACCTGTAGAAATCTGCTGTTCTTTTTTGTGTGAGGGGAAAAAGAAGAAGGCAAAGCTTACGGGCACTCCGGATGTGGTGCGCTTTAAGGGCACAAGGGAGTTCTGCATACTGCAGGCGGGACAGTTGCTTGAGTGCAGCTTTCGGTAAATGCTGCTATTTTCGCAATCCAGGAATGCAAAGAAATGATGGAGAGTTTGCCCTTTGTTGCTCAAGATGCCTTGGACGACTTTGCCTACAAGAAGGCCTGGCTGAAATTTCCATTGAGCAGTCTTCAGACATCACACTGCCCTTGGGTGCATGTTGTAAGGTCGCACGCTTTTTGAACATGGTCGGCCTACTCGCAGAATTCCTGGGTATCAACTCCAACAAGGACCGGGCAAGTTTCAAGCTCAACTAAATATGTTATGTTCCTCCGCCTGCCATATAGAGTTGATCTCCACTGTCCACTACTCCTTTCTCCACCAGTTTTGATATTTGTCGCTGCAACGGCTACAGGACTACAGGTTCAAGTACTTCCACAGGCCACTGGCAAAACGAAACCCTTTGTGGGCAAGCAAAGCATCTCTTTAAGCTCAGCTCTTTGTTTGCCCTGAGGTATTTGTCACCGACTCCTCAATTTTTCCCGACTGGCTTTTGCGTGGATGTTATCCGAGAGGCCAATGAGTCAGCAAAGTGAAGCGTTTGCTGCAGCTAGAGAAGCAATAATGATATGTTCAGTTGGTTGCGACGACAGCACTCATACCTATTCCAGGCAAGGATTGCAAAAGACAAGCCTGGCGTGTGCTTCAGCAGCAGAGTTGCCGTCAATCTGCTTTGCACGATACATACTGGGTGCTCGCTGGGGGCACAATTTACATAAACAATGATATGAGAACTATCTGCCTGCAACCTGCATGATCTGGGCACTACGCCCCAAAAAAAACCAGAACAAAAAACGATGATCTGGACTCTATGCCCAATCTTAAAACCAGAAAACCGAACAAAGAACAAACAAACCAATAAAAACAATGATTTGGACGCTATGCCCAATCCTAGGACCAAAAAAAGAACAAACCAAACACACAATGATTTGGAAACTATGTTCATCCTACAACTGTTTGGATTCGTTTGGACAACAATTTTTCGTTTCTTTTTTGGTTTGTTTGGTTTGAGAAGTAGTCTATACGCACAACACATGGTTATAAACAACGTCTTCTGACGTGGCTAATCATTTGCAGCATTTCAGTTTCAACTCCATACCGCCAATCTCATTAGGAACAAGAAGCTACTAGGGGCTCCTGGCATCGCTACTAGTAGCAAGGACGCTAAGGGGCTCCTGGCCCTACTACTAGGAACAATGTTTGCTATTGGGAACAATCTTCAATAGTGCTACCAATACAACATTGAAGTTGGGACTGACTATTTTGTGTATCTGACCTTTTTGGTACCTTTTTGTCTCCCATATTACCTACAGTATGTATATATACATCCTAACATTTATATAAATGCAACTACAATTGCATCTACAACAATAAGGCAATGTATTATCCAGTGAGTGAGATTCAAGGATAGAAACGCTTTGGCAAGTCAAAATATTCAGAACATTAACACCTTTCATATCAAGGTGAAATCCACACCCGCAATAATTACTGTACACTAATTATTGATATTATCCAAGAACCACTGAATATTTACATATCCTTTTTTTGGTCTTTTTCTTTTGACTGATTTATCCTGCATTTTGTAATTTTCATTTATTCTTTCAAAATTGCTTATCATGCATTTTGTATAGACATCATCGTTGGTATCATTATTATACCTATAGAATTTAGCCTTATTAAAATCTCTACGTCTTTTTAATGCTGTCCAAACCCATTCAGGATAACTGTTTACACGACAATGGTTATAATGAAATATTGTCATGTCACCATCAATGCAGCTAGGCACAATGACAAGTTGAACACCAAGCAATTATGAAGTTTTTCCTTACCTTGTCAATCTCTAATGATTGACGCATATTTGTTTTCACATTCTTCAAGGTAATAATTTCAATACCAGACCATATGAACAATTTTGTATTTACACGTTACATGGAAAACACTTGCTTTTGATTTGGTATATCCTCAGCATATCAAGAATTCACCTACTGTACTTTATATTCTGTCTTTTTTTGCGTTCCAGTTTCTTAATCTCACTTGATACATTTGTACAGGTCTTATTCAAATATATAGTATTTTATGTACTTTCAGCAATATATCAGGCACAAAAAATTTGTCAAGTCAGCATATTTTTCATATCTTTGGTATTTGTCAGCTCCTGAACTTGCTTTAGTTGTTTGGTAACAACTGTTGCAACAGTAATTTTGTTATGCTTATTTTGCTCAACAAACTATATGATTTTCCAATATACACTCAAACCACTGAAACAGATCAAATTCTGAATAATCAAAAGGTTCTCTTTTAACATCACCAACACTTATACCAAAAAAAATGTTTATTGTTGTGGCATCGCTTTCAACAAATTCTTGTAATAACCTATTAGTAGGGCATACAAACAATGCTGTGTAGCCTTTATCAACAATTGTCTGGCAGATATGACTTTTGTCTGTTCCTGCAACGAATCCCCTTTACTAATAATGTGTCATTTTATCAATTTTACTAACAATATCATCAGTATCATACTCTTCAATTTGAGTTTATCAATTTTTATAGGTTCGTATTTCGACAATTTGATTTTCTACAACTTGGTAAAGTTCATTAGGCAATTTGATATCCACATACTTGCTCACTCTCCAGCGTCCAATCTTATTATCAAAATCCAGTACTTCCCTTGCGTTTTGTTCATCTTCAGCCTTGATGGTGAAAGCATCAATCTTAACACTATATACTGTAATACCTGCATTTTTCAGTTTAAAGTGGGCTTTATACATTGACAACAAATGGTGTCTCTGTCAAAATTAAGAAGTAATATGCTTCCTGTTCAGTGTCAAATGATGAAGGCCAACTATGGTTTCCCTCACTTCCTTCTTCAACTTCTTCTCAAGTCACCACAGCTGCATGCATATATATATATATACACATGTTTTGTGTGTATATATATATAGATGATTTCAACCCAGGACCTTCAATGGAGTCTTGCATACCTATGAAGAGACCATGAAAGATCAAGCAGTGTCTCGGCAGAGTGGCCACTGGATCAGGATTGCTTTTTGCAAAGTGGTGCTAGCGATGCCAATCACTTGAATTGGATTTCAGGCATCATCATTGTCACAGTCATATGCAAACAAGATTCGCATG